AACATCAGGGCTAACAGGGGCAGACATGCAGAAAGGGAATTCGGCTCTCACCGGAAGGTCTCTGTGTTTGTCTGTGTGTGTCTGTGTGTGTGAGTGAGGTTCCCGGTCGACGTACTCGTGATCGTACTGTGGGATGCCTTTTCCGATGAGCTTCAAGCTTACTTAGCTACTACAGGACTGTAGTATACTGTAGTGCTGTGCACGCTCTGCAAGATGATGTCGTTCTACATTGAAGTGGGTTTCAGGCTTTACTGTTGTAGGGAAGGCACAAGCAGCCTGGCCAGGCAAGGCTTCATCCCCAACAGCATCGGCGCAGACATTCTCTTTCAAATTCCTGTGCTGAGACTCCTGGCAGGTCTGTGTTTCTCCGTCGCCTTCATTGTGCTTCGAGGTCGAGGTTCGAGGTGCGAGTCTTTCAGGGTACGGCCTGTTGAACAGGAGTGGCACGGTGGTCCGGGGGAGGAGCTAAAGGCCAGTGTATGACTGCCGCGTCTGAGCTGCGAAGCCGAGGACAGCTGGTGCGTTTCGGCGGCTTGATTCCAGCCACACCTCAGTCCATCAAGCGAGTCACTGGGATTGACAACGTGTGTCCTTGGTTTACGGGGCCCTTCGAGAAGTTGTTTTGCATCGCTCTCAGTTCCTATGTTTCCGAGAAGCCGAGGCCTTGGCCTGGCCGTACCCGAACAATATCACCTTCATCGTGCCAGGCGGCATTGCCGAGATCTTTTTGACCCTCACCTCTGTCAATACAATAATACAAAGAGATAGTCTGCAAAAGAGAGATAACATACGTTTGCAAAGGACTTCGTTCACACCTCCGATATATATATATATATATATATATACACACATACATATATATATATATATATATATGTATATTTTGTTATATATGTATTATGTATAAAGCGCATCACATACATGTATGTGTATATGTATATGTGTATATATACATATATATATATATATATATATACACCTGAGAACGACGAACTTCTGTAAAGCTGAGCGAAGAGCAAGAGCCCCTGTCAAAAGCAACATTTGTCATCCGAGGATGCGACCAGACTTGGAACAGGCTGGGTTGCATTGCACTTGTATGCTTTGGCTCCGCACAGGAGCCACATGCCTTTGCCTCCGTACTTTCTTGCCGTTGCGCCCCAAGACAAGAGATCCTCGAAACTTGCTGAAGGTTTTCATCAAAAGCCGCAAGGGCTTCATCCGGCTCGCGCTCCAGGCAGACTGAATGCTCTGCTCCGCTTGCACGATGCAAAGGGTGCTTGTTCCGCAGCCGCAGGCTGGCGTGGACATTGTTCCTGTTTATGGCCTGGGCCACACACAGCTCTTCACGATGCTGGCAGCTGGGCTATGGATTTGCTCAACACTTTAGCACCTCTCGTTGTGTGCTGGACGCCATCCCTAGAAGTTCGCAATGCGAAGCTCAACGTGTAACCGAGGAGGAACCTAGCCTCGCTCCTCGGGGCAGACGGGGTTGGCCAAGGGCAGGAGGGATTAGGACATCTGGGGTGCTAGCTCCACGTACTCGACATTGCTGGAACGCTAGGACTACCAGAGCAGTGGATACGACTCGGCAATGAGTAGTTCCAAACTGGACTTCTGGTCTTGGTCAACCCGCGGTTTCTCAATAGCATCGAGTTGCATTTGCAGAAGCCCTCCAGAAGCCCGGAGCCAACGTACCTCGGCCTACCCGGGAGCTAAGCAAGAAAAGCAGAAAACTAATTGAGTTTCGAAAGCATGGAAACTCAGAGCCTGCACCAAGCAAAAGCGATTTTAAGGACAAGTCCTCCGGACTTGGCGGCTTCATGATGCGAATGAGCAGACGCCTCAAGAGTCTCGGCTGCACGCCGTCTTCCCTCTAAAACGACTCTGACTCTCATCAAAGACATCCCACCCAGAATCTGCCGAACATGACGCACAAGTATCTCTAATTTTCAGAGCATGCGGAGCGACAATTGTTCGATGCATGTCAGGGTTTCGCTGCCGTTGAGCTATGGGCGGCTGGGAATGCTTCTGGGCAAAACAATATCAGAGTGCCACCTGAATGCCTCAGACTTACCCTGCCGGCCATGTTGTCTGTCAACGTTCGCATTATGCGTCTTGCTCGAACAGGTGCTGGTCATTGGGCCATTAGCGTTGCTAACTCCGAAAAGACAAGCGAGTCCAGGGACTATGTCCAAAATCAGAATGCTCTCGAGGTGCATGAATGGAAGCTAAAATCAACGAAGCCGTTTGGGGCAGTTAACCTCGCGACCTTGCCCGACACTTGAGGCCATTGATCCCTTACGCAAAGCCTGTTGCGGCTTTGGTCGGCAAGCCCATCCGGATCGATGCGCCGGACCCTAATCCATCCGCTGAGAAGATCGACGAACTGCACGCGCAGCTGCTGGCCCAATATGCGGGTTCGGGGGAGATGCACTTGCGGCCAAGATGGATCATGATGGGTCTAGCAACGTGTTTCGAGCCTGTTGCATAGTCATCATCACGATCATACCTATCCGTCATGAGTCGTTGCGACATTGTTACGTCGCACTTCTACAGAACCCGACTCACTGCAGCATGCAAACCTTGCTGTATATGACCACCAGCACAACACAACTTACTACTTATACGTTACTATGCAGGAAATATCACCCGTACCAGTGCTATACGTATTATCGCCAGTTGACGGGGCATCAGAATTGATGTGGCCTATGTTGCAACAGCATGTTAGTGGGAAGGCCTTCTGTCATCCAGATGGACTACACATGGCAGTTTTTTCAAGCAAGGGTGGACAGGTTTCATGCCCGATGTAGGAGTGAAGTTTGAAGTGGCATGCGCACTGCACGTTATAGCAAGTGGACCGACCATCAAGAGAGACCACTGCCAGCAGGGAACGCTTGCTTTCTTTTTTGCAGCACTGGGGCCTGGCGGCATGGCCGAGGTTCGTCCAAGAGCTGCTCCGAATCTTCGAGAAGCACAAGGCCAGGGCGGCCAGGACCGTGGGAGTCTCAGGGGCTCTTGCAGCGGAGATGCTTGCAGGCTATTGTTCCCGGCTACGAAAACAAGCAGCAGCCGGTATGCAAGGACGAGGAAGGGAGTTTGCGAGTGGGGCCCAGCCGTGCGAATCCGAGGCTTTATCTGGAAGACGAGGAGGTGCCTCCTCTCCCAACTGATGCCTTGGCCGACGACGTTCTGTTTCCCAGCAATTTGCCGGCTTTCAAGAGCCGTCTCTGAATGTTTAATTCTTAGTTTTAGCTGTTCTAGCTGTTCAAGGTAGCAGTGCGTCCTGAACGGGCCGTCTGATGTCGCTCCGAAGAAAGCTGCATATTCGCAAGAGCAAATCATCGGACGGCTGATGTTGAGAATCGGGTGGCTCAAGCGAACCTGGTGTGCAACAGCCAATTGCGGACCCCGATCTGCGGTCTGTCTGCCAGCGGCAAAATGGGCAGCATCTTGCTACACCTACGGGTCGGTTGGTACTACACTACTACCGAATGACATGCAAGCATAGACATAGACATCCGGACAGTACGGTAGCACGCATGGAGCTGAATCCGGATGCCCACTGTGTCTTTCAATCGACCCTGCAAGTGTGAATCGAATGCCATTATGCGGGGATTTGATGCGTGGGAGCGCATCCCCGGCCCCTGGTCGAAGTCGCAGGGCACCGCGGATGAGAAGGTGGAAGACGAAGAGGTGGACGAGTTCTTAACCGACTACGACTTCCGTCACAGGCACAGACTCATCCCACCACTCGCGACTCTGCCTCATGGCTCGTACCTGCTTTCTTTGTTAGCATCAGAACCATCCTGAAGCCTTAAGCGTGCAGACTCTGGGCTCTGGGTTCCCTGGTTCCCTGCTGCTTCGAGATAGTCGGTCCGTCGGTCCGCGCACAGGGTTGGCCAGCAGCGAGCGAAGCACCGGGCCAGGCCATGGGGCCATTGCAGGTAATTGCAGCGTCGAAGCTCTTCTGTGACTTTCGCGTGTAACGGATGACTAAACGGACATACACCAGCGGGACATTACACGGTCAGATTCTTAGAAGCTAACACACCTGCATGCATGTTTCACTTCGTATCAAGTCGGTTGGCCTCGGAACCTTGTAAGACTGCTTGCCTGATGTCTGCTTGGTACACTGGTACACTGCATAAACGTACTAATATCGCGCCTTGTGCCCGTTGCAGCATGTTGAGTTGCAGCCTGAGCCAATTTTTATTTCTCGTTTCCCTGTCTCAGACACGGGACCCACTGCCCTGCACCGGGGTCCGGCCGAAAGCTCGTCACTGTGTCATGGATCTTCGCTTGGCTCTTCACGAGTAACGTTACTGTCACGGGAGCAGCGCAATCTGCGACTCCGCCACCCTGCGAGGTATGGTCGTGGCTCTGGACGTGGTGCAGAGGGGCACTCAGAGTGATGTATTACCGTCTGACACACCGCAGTGCGATAAGAAGAATTCGGCTGTGGCGGCATGGCCAACACGGGAGCAGCGTTCTATACTAGTCCCGTTTCGGAATCACACGGGCATAATGCTGCTGTAGCTCTCGGCGACCCAGAGCAACTAGCACCCCGCAGGAGTCGTAGTAGGGCTAGGAGTTTAGGAGTTTAGGAGTCTGCTGATCGATGCCTGGACTGCCAGGCCAGCACGCGCAATGCGTCTGGCGACCTGCAGGAAGAAGATGAGGAGGAGGCCCCAAGTATGTACCAGCGGAGCAAAAGAAAAGACCATCTAAGCAAGTAGGATCTCACCCTTACTGGTGTCTGGGCTTCTAGGATCCTTATGTTAGGCGGTTGTTGTTTCCGAGGCTAGAGCAGCTGAGCACTTGAAGTTCCCGCAAACGGCAAGAGTCACGATCTCGACGCGAGAGTACTGCTTCCCAGCAGAATCGGGATTCATCCTCCGTCCTCCGCTTCACAGCAGTGATCGAGCAGTGATCGCTCCCTGGGCAGGAGGCTTCGCAGGACTGAAGTTGTTGGCATGGAGGAGCTTCAGCTTCTCTTCTCTGCCTCTCCTCTTGTCTTTGTCTCTTGTCTCGTCGCGAAAGGGCCACATCGAGACAGGAACAGTTCAGCATGGAAAACTCTCTCAAGCTAGAACGAATGCCGGCATGTTAAGAAGAAGACCTTGGATCAGACGTTAATCTGCGACAAGTGTATTTGTGAGCGGAAGGGAGGGGCAGCCAGCGTCAAAAAACAAGGTTTCTGCAAACAACATTGTTCTCCCTTTTGCCAGGCTTCGTGAAGGAACTTTCGGCTCAGACACTTCTCTAAGCCGATTCCCGTTGCACCTGCGCGCAGGACTTGGGGACATTGGGGGACGCATTGAGGGGCTCCGTTGCCGGTTCTTCTTTTCCAATCTCAGTTGTACAGATGCGCAGCGCCACCTTTGCAGGGACTCCGCTCTTGCTGACTTCAAACTTAGTAGGTCAGGAATCTAGGCACCTGTGCACTGCAGCATTTGGAGTCTCGCACCCTTGCATAGGCCGGCGCTTGGTACAGCGGACTTAGCAGAGAGCCGTCAAAAGGTTGCACTTGCTCCCGCTGCTCCCGCTCCCGTCCTGGAGATGCCGCGATGCCTGCGCTGCCGTCCCAGTGAGGTGGTCGTTGAACTGGCTTGGGACATCCCATCGCAGAATGTGGTGCTCGTGGCTCGGGCCTCAACTCACAGCCCTCAGGCCGGCAGCACGAATTGTCCAAGGGTCGATAGGGTCGGATAATAAGGACAAGGGCGGTCGTCCAGACTCATAGATCGCCAAACTTCCCCATCGGGCTGGCCCTCCGAAGGTCATTTTTGACGTCTGCCTGCAGACCGCTAGAACCGTTAGGGACACTGGTGACCTCTCATCTTGGGTCGCCTGCTCGTACTGCATCTGACGGAAATCGCAAGTTACGCGCCTTGCCCAGCATGTTAACTTTGAAAGCCTTCTTCAGTATATGCCCTACTCACAGGAAAACTCCCAAATCTCAGCAATGCTACGAGTTTTGGTATCCTGGCGAACCACGCGCATGTAGATAGTGCCACCCCCGTCCTTGGCAGCGAGGACCAGTGGTTGAATACCGCCAGTCCGGCGAGCCACAAGTTTCTCAAGGTCGCTGGCCTCTTTGCAATTTTGTCACGGCTCTGCCTCGCTGCTGTTCACGATGCACGTGTGCCGCAGCCGGACCTATGTCAAAGCCACAGTCTCTTTCTTTGAATAGCTGCTCCTCTTGCTCTCACATCTTGCGATTCGAACAGGAGTTTGCTCCGAAGCGAGCAGCTGGGCACCCAGCACGGTCAATGATTCGAGTTTGTCTGTCCGGTGCTGTCCCCGTCGTTGGTTTCTGAGATCGTAGACATAAATCGTAGAGCTACTCCTGTCTGGTGCATGACCCCAAGAAACCGTCAGAGGTTAGTCTGTGGAAGTCCCCCGGAGGCGCTGAACGAGTACCTGCAGTTTGTTCCTCACTATCATGTCTTCAGCCTCGAGGGGAAGGACTCTTGCGATTTCCCTGGGGGAACTGACAGGCTGGAAGGCTGATGGCTCCAAATCCTCAGTCGTTGTTTTGTGTTTTTTTTTTGTGACGAGGGGTATATTCTTCCTCACGGCCAGTCCACCAGCCTCCGAGACTACCCGGAACTGTTTCGAGGCGCCTAGTACAGGCACCTCACATGCTGCCAACCTTCGGTACTTCCGAGAACTACGGATGCAGAACCCCAGAGCTTTTTAAAAGCCAGGACTACAAGGATCTTTGCAGCGACTCGACTGGACGGTATTGTGCTGACGTCCACTGCTCAGCCTGATCTGCAGAAGTTCCAGCTACAGATGGGGCCTCCCGTCCAAGGATCCAGATGGAGGTGGTGAGATCACCGGCAAGCAGGTCTTGCACGAGGCGTCTGCGTGACGGAAAGCTGCAGCCGGTGAAAATCCCTACAACCAGGCATTGAAAAAAAGCGTCTGTCGCCTGCAGGCCGTCCGCCAGCTGTGCATACACGAGATCACAGTGGTTCCGACCGGAGAGAGGCAGCGGCGGGTTTCAACTTCTTCGGGTCTGAGCTGCTCTTCAAAGCAAAGCTGCCAGGATAGCACAGGCCAAGCGCATGAGACAAGCGAAATTCTCCACCGAGCTGCTTCCTCAGAGCTGAAAAGCCATTGATTCTTGGTGAGACGGGCTGAAGATCAGCGTCTTGGCACTGTTTGCATATGGCATCCAGCATCGTCCCTGTTTCCTGTCGGACCCCCTCCGAGTACACCTTGTGAGAACTGGCTGCCAAACTGCTTGGCCACGGAATGCAGGCACCGGACTAGAGCATGGAAAGGGTTCGGTTCCACAAGGTTTGAGCCGTTTGAGCTGCGCGCTGGCAGTCACTCCACGCTTGAAGACATCGTGGAGCTGTAAATCCAAGCCGTTGTTTTTACTCAACTCGAGTCGCATCCGAGGTGGTGGGATTATGTGTCCAAGTATTTGGACGAGCTTGGGCACCCAGATGCCTTTGGCTTCCCTCAGTTTTCCAGCTTTCTTGGCTGGACCTCGATTCGGCGCGCCTGTGTGTCGTCGAATGTCACGGCCACGGCGTGTTGTTGCATCCAGGGCCGAGGCTGTCAGACTGGAGTCCCGAAGGCCCTAGCTGCCTATCATCCTTACGTCTTCAGGTGCCCAGCAACCGGCAGCGGCGACGACCCTCTTCACACTTTTGGCGAGAAGTGCTCGGAGCGCTTGATGCACCAGGCTTGTGGGACCTTATTTCCGGGGCATGTATCGTTGTTCTCTTGGCTCAAACTGCGGATGAAGAAAGCATGAGCGTGAGTGATTGCCCAAATCGACTGCCTGGATTCTGCCCTGAGAGCTAAACCTTTGCGGAAGGTTGGGCTCGATGTCGAAAAGGTCGAGGAGTGCATAAGGAACACGAAGGCCGAGAGCGAGCCCCCCACGCAACCCCCCTACCGGAATCCTGCGTCTTCGTCCTTGTCGGCACGGCAGACAGGGTGTCTCGATAAGGAAACATCACATCGGTGTAAGATTGGCAGGAAGACAAGCTGGCGTATCAGCGGGAGAACAGCGCGTCGGCACCTGACAGCCACGCTGAGTAGTCCTGCACAGCAGCCTGCACGCGCAGAGCAGAAACGCAACGCCTGAACGCTGTGTGAGGTGGCACATGTTCTGATGCGTGCAGCGAACACAGAAATCAAGTCGTTCTCGGCGTCCAGCAATCTGATGCAGCATCAGTTCGAGTGCAGGCTGGTTCGGTGAAAGTGTGACTTGCTGCTATGGTGGAACAGCAGAATTTCCGTTTTGGAGCTGCTGGAAAGTTTGCCTGCAATCGCAGCTAAGGTGGTCTTCCGACGCCTTGCGAATCAATGGTTGGAGGCTGTTTAAGGAGAAAGCTGTGTTAGTGTCTGAATGTCTCGTCATATTCGTGACATAGGTGTACGCCTGCTTGAACTTTCTGAGAACTGTGTCGAGGCGCGTGCGGCTTCGCTTGTCAATGTTTGTCGTGTGCAGGTACAGTGGCACGATGGATGCCGATTTGGTGACGAAGGCGATTTGTGCCGGATTTGTCTCGTCACGCCGGCACGCTTGAGCTATTTTGAGCTCGTGTGCAGCAAACCTTCGTGACCTGGAGGTCAAGAGCCTACTGACCGGTCTTGCATCGCTCACACTTGCATCTTTCTGCGTTCCCTGGTGAATTGCATCAAGAATTGAAGAAGGCACAGAGCAGCCCAACCAGCCTGAAAATCCGGAGTCTGAGCCGCCAGGACTCCCGAGCCGTGCACGCGACTGACAACGCAGCTTGTCTGCGCTTTACGATTGGGACTTGAGGCTATATATATATATATATATATATATATATATATATATATATGGGCTTCATACGCCCGAAAGCTGCAACGAGAGAGGCAAATCCCCTTCAAAAGGCCAGCAGGGCCAGCGGCCAGCGAGGTGTGGCTTTGACACTCTGGATGCTCGCGCGGCTACGAGAGAAGACTGCGTAACAGATAGAAAAAGTTTCCTTTCTTGTTTTGAACAGGACTGGTGGTGTTTGTCAAGGCTTCGCACGCGTCTTGTTTGTCGATAGCCGTGACCCGCTGCTTAAACCAGGTTCTCTAATGCTTGGGGTGAAGACAGCAACATGCAATCCGAATACCTGCATTGATGGGTTCTCATCCGCTTAGTCGTTGTCATGCCATGTTCATCCTCAGCCACAGTCAAAGTCTCGCAGGGTGTTTTTGCATTCTGGGTGTGTCAGCAGTCCTGAGCATGCCTGTGCACATGGCCACGCCAACATGTCCCAGGCATCACTGGCACAGCCAAGTTGGACACTTGCTGCTCGTGTGTTGACATCAAGCCGTAGGCCGTACCGTAAGCATTCTCTTGCTCACCTTAGGCCAGCAAATCCCTTCAACCTCGACGGAGTTGTGCGCCTTGGAGCTGAAGTAAGTCTCGCAGGTCTTACAACGTCTTACGAACCTGAAGCAGCTCTGGCCTGGCAGGTTGCAGAGGATTCGTCGTGTTCCCCCGTCGAGTTTTGGAATCTTCCATGGGTCTCACGAACCGCTTAACTGCCGTAAGAGCGACGTCGCGACAGGGGTTTTGGCGGGTGAAATTATGGCGCTGGTGGATTGTTCACAAACCGGGCTTTCGCATGGGGCATGACTGACCTGCAAAGTAGTATGAGCCAAGAGAATGCACAACGGACGTGGACACACTGTATGCCGGACCTGTTAGGCCAACGCCCGTGGCGAGCGGCGTGTCCAACTCGCAAGTGATGGAGGCCAGGGCGAACGCAAGAGTTCTCTGAAAGTTTTGCTTGATTCAGCTGCAGGTGTTTATCGTTCTTGCTTTGGTGGCCGTTGGTCTACACCTCAGACAACCTAACTCCCTGGAACTCTGCTGGAGCAGAGGCTGAAGGCATCGCTGTGTCTACTGCCTAAATTTAAAAATACCGGCCCAGGCTTCATGTACTTCTACAAGCGATCTATGACGCGGAACATCCACACAGCGCTCCGCGAGGAGGCGGTCACGTAAGTGATGGCTTTGTGTGGTACTAAGTGGTAGTAGTCGTCGTCGCCGTCGTAGTCGTTTACGTGGTATTGCTAGCGGTAGGGACAGCGGCAATGGTATCTTGGTGACGTCGCAGCAGAACCACCACCGCCACCACCACCACGAGGATGTTATTCCGTTTTCTACTGCACTGCTACTGCTACTGCTACTGCTACTGCTACTGCGACTGCTACTGCTGCTACTGCTACTACTACTACTCCTCCTCCTCCTCCTCCTCCTGCTGCTGCTGCTGCTTTCTGCTGCTGCTACTACTAGTAGCTACTATGACTACTAAGTAGAAAGAGGAGCAGCGCTAGCAACAACTGGAGGAACAGAGGCATCTCTTCCATTCCTCTGCACATAACGGCCACCATGACGACTCTTCAAAGACGCTTCTCTTTGGCGGAGGTCATGCTGGAGGTCCAATCGCAGATGGCACAGTGCGACACTGCATGGCAGTAGTGATACCACGTAGTGGTTTTGGCAAGCCCGACTTTGTGCAGAGGAATGTGCAGTGCTTCCTCAAATTGTGCCGAAGAGTTACCGCTTCACCGAAACTTCTGCCTACCGAGACACAGCGGACACTCTGAGTCTAGACTTGTATCCTAGTACCATCCCTGCCCCTGAGCCTATATCTCCGAGCAGCTCCGACAGGTCCGTCTGTGTCCGTTCTTTCTTTCGTTCCCTCTCACTTTCTCTGTCTGTCTGTCTGTCTCTCTCTCTCTCCCTCTCTCGTCTCCCTCCCAGCCGTATCCCACCAAGCTTCACGACGTTGGCGTCGTGACAGGTACAAGCAGCTGGGTGACTTGTGAAGCTTCGGAGCGTCATAGCTGAGACAGGTGGGAGGTTTCGTCTCACTTGAAGTCACTTCAATCCATCAGTGCATCGCCGTATGTAAAAGCCAGGAGAAGTGGGACCTTCGCGCATCTCCCATGTTAGTAGTGCGTTAATGAGTGCCGCGGAAGTTGCGGAAGTTTTGCACAGGTTTTGTTCTGAAGGGCCTCGGAAGGGACCACGGAGTATTTACTAATATGCACATTGACATGTACTCCGCATAAATTTCTACAATAGCTTGTGGCAAGAACATGAAGGACTGGCTTTGTATTATGATGTTCAAGTCATTTTGACTCCGTGTTCGTCTCGGCGAGCAGCTAGTGCTATTGCAAATATGCACTTGCTTTTGCTTGGGCCCCGCCCCTCGATCCTGTTTCACCGTGGTGTCGCGCACTGTACAGGTGAGGCCATTTCTAGGTTGTACCCGGGAGGCCGGGGCCACCACAGACTTAGATTGAGGTCAGTGAAACCCCGTCTTGGGTCTCAAAAAGGCATGGGACGGACTCGGCCTCTTTGTCGCTTCCCACAAAGATAGTCAGACAGTCACGGTGACGACTGAATTCCGGTAGCGGTTACTGCAAAGCAACAGTGAACTCTACACGGAGGGTGTTTAGGTCATTAAAGTCTGTGGCCAGTACAGCAGGTTCGGTACATCATAACTCGAGCTGCCGAGCTGCCGAGCTGCTCGATTCTCAAGGAGAAAGGGGAATCCATGGCAGCCTTGGGCTCTTAGAGGCTGGAGGCCAGGAGGCCGGGACGGCGCGTGTCTGGTTTCCAAACATCCATTTCTGTACAGAGAGAGGCATGGGAAGGCTGCTGTTCCTTCTGATTGCCACGGCTGGGAGCCCAGCTTCTGAATCCTTCGACCTCTGCTGTTGGCCTTAGCCTTCAGCACTTGCTACTCTGAAGGCCGCTCGCGGCGCAGTGGGCGCGGAGAAGGATCTGCCCAAAGTCAAAGTGTTTTCCAAGGACGGGCGGAGCAGGGGCTGCGGTTGGAGTTGCTGCCGAAAGCGGGGTGCCCGGGTGCCCAATGCCCAAGCGAAAAACAGGTGGAGAAAGACTCGGAGCTCCCAATGGTGGAGCTCGCAAGCTCGCAGGCCTGGCTGGAGACCTCAGCAAAGGGAGGGGCACCCCGAATTGCTTCCCTTTTTAGGACATCCAGAGGAGGGAGAAAGCCGACATTGAGGCCAGGCGCACGCGCGTCTCGCGGAGAGATTTCTCTTGTTGGGTCCCTGTCCCTGCTCACGTCTGCCAGTCCTTTGTCCTGTCGCAGGAGATCTCCAAAGCTACTCGGTCCTCGTGTGTTCTCGTGGCACTTTCCATTCAGTGAATGGTGCTCGCAGCTCAAGCCTTCGAAGAAGCAGACCCGTCTAGCCTGTGTCCTATCTAAGGCTGTGAAGCTTCTGGATGCTTTGCTCGCAGTAAGAACGCTCTCTTTTTGTCCAACTCTCCTGTGGCACCGAAGTTCGTCTTCACGGCGCATCCGTGCAGGATCGAGTCTTCAGGAGATCGAAGGGCAAGTCCGGCCGCTGGGACTAGGGAGTCACATCGGGGAGGATTTGGAGGTGACCATCGATTGTGAGCGTCACAGGTAGCTTGCGGGGTCGACCAGAGACCCAAACCCAAGCAAAATTATGGATTCGAGAGCGGAACGAGTGGGTACAAAAGTGAAGATGAATGTACGCCAGACTGCATCGCAACTGGGTCGAAATCTCCTTCTGGCCAAGAGAGGCCACGCGGCCTTGAACGACTGAGGTCAATGTGGTGTTGTGGCCCAGCTCGACGACCAGAAGAGTCCCATGAGCTGGGCTAACGCATCACACATAATGCCGCAGAGGAATCAATGCGCCTGGGCCGATTCTGTTCTTCTACGAAGCTGGAACTTATCAACATGAAGTTGAGCGGTGGCTAAATCGAGTCTGGGAGTGACGCTTGTCAAAGCCTGGGCTTGAGAGTGAAGATTGACGACTGACATCAAAAAAGCCAGTGAAGCTTCTGCTCAGTGCCAGGTCACCGGCGACTGTCTACAAACTGCACCCTGAGCTTTCGGCAGATGCAGTGCCCATCAGCCTCTATGATGCATCGTTGGTACCAGGGAGCAGGCCTAAGGGTGAAAGGTGGGCTGCATGCACCATTCGAGTCCGCGCTGTCAAGGAAGACAAACTGCTGAGGACAGGCGAGAGAGAGAGAGAGAGAGAGAGAGACAAAGTTATTACGTATACTTTTCAAAGGCGTTACTCATTGTTTGCCACGAGCAGATGGCTCGCAACTTTTGTGCTGCGCTGTGCGACCTGCCAGTGAAGAGAGATGCATGGCGTCCGGCACTTCGTAGGGGGAAATACCTCACCCCATGATCACCCACTACGAGATGTAAGGGGAGCAAAGATCGCCAATTTCCTGTCTACAATGGTTCTGACAACTAGTTTAGTGGAAATCCTCTTAGTATCCCTGGGACCAGGGGAATTTGGGCGATGTGCACGTTTGTATGGAGAACGTACGACCACCTGACTTCTCGCTATCGTGTACTTTCATGGCTTCAGCTGAATGGTGGTCTATGTTCGTCTTTCACGCCTCTCCCCCGAAAACGCTTCGGGTGGGCATGATGCCCGGAGGCTTTGACCGGCCTCCATGCCCGAGAGAGAGAGAGAGAGAGAGAGAGAGAGAGAGAGAGAGAGACAAAGGAGCGTTTTGGCTCAAGCCATTTTGGCTCAAGGCCGCGCCAGCAGAAAGCAGAGGGCCTCCAACGGGGGCGACCGAGAGCAGGCCCAAGAGTGAGCGAGAGAGTTTGCGATCGAGCTTGGAGGTGTCTCCGCTGCCCTACTCGTCTCCGTCGCGACCGCCCTCCGGGACGACATAGTCAGGGTCGGAGCTGCAGGGTGGCCTTGCGCTGTTGCTTCGGGACATTGACAAACCTCGGTCGCTATACAGTCGGCGACCGAAGATGGAGGTATTGAGCGGCCACAATATGAGTTGCATGTGACTGGTGGGGTCCATCCCACATTGAAGTTAGACGTCCTTCACAACTTATTTTAGTGGGCCCAGAGCCCTGCTTTTTGGGCGTTCGCACCTCGAAAGCCACAGAAAAAACTGAAGTGGGAGCCAAGCTCCTGCTACTTTGAGACTGAATGGGGGGGAGAGGCTATAATTAATTAATTAGTTAATTAATTTAATTAATTAATTAATTAATAATAAATTAGTTAATTCTGGTGAGACACCGGAGTTAGGAACCTGGAGCCGGAGAACGTCTCTCTCACCAACAGTGTGGGGGGGGGGGGGCATTTGCGTGTTTGTGCCTCGAACCTGGAGCCTCACTCGCGTTGGAACGCCGATAGTGGGGTCGGATTTCTTGTGGGGGAAGACCGATTTGGTCAGGCCCTCAGGCTTAAAAGTTAGAGACCCAGGCCCCTGCCGTTGGTGTGTCTGAGCCCTGGTCTTCAAGGTGGATTGGAGGTACTAGTGTTCTGGTGTTGTGGTTGGCAGTACAGGCCCGGTCTCTTGTGTCCGATTGCGTTGTTCAGCACACCAATTTCCCAGTGCGTGAAATCGCGCGGGGGGTCGGCGCACGCAGACTCCCCTGGCTGTGCTGAAGAAGACAATTGTCTTTAAAGAGCGCAGGGGGGAGGGGAACTCGTGTCCCGAGCCCCAAACGCCTTGCAAGCAAGCAAGAGAGAGAGAGAGAGAGAGAGAGGCGAAAGAAAGAGAGAGAGAGAGAACGAATGCTTTGAAAAACAATGCTTTGAACCAGCAAGACATCCACCTATATAACAAGGAACCCCACTTGCCGCAACTTGTTTCTATTTGCGGGGCTTCGGTTGCTGTAGGTACCAAGAACTTGCCGTAGAGGCAGCCGAACGCCACCCGACTTGCCGACCCCAGGTCTGAAAATCGGTCCGATGGCCGCAAGGCCTTTACCCGCTGCAACGTTTGAGGGTAGGGGGCGCTTCGGCGCAGGTCCAGCGCGCTGGACCTTGACGAGTAGCAAAGTTGTGCAAGCGAAGTGTGCAATACAAATGCCGCGTCTTTGTACGTTCAGCATGGAATTGTGAAATGCAGCAGCTTGTTCGACCTGGTACCGCAGCTAGGCACATCTCGCATTTTACGGCTCAAGAGATTTTCTGGCAGAAGTTCCAAGTGCAACATGGAGCGCATTA